GGATTAAAGGTGTGTGCTACCAACGCTCGGCATTAGTTACGTCTTCTTGTTTGTTTTTCTTTCCTTTTAGATTCTCTGCTTTTGCATAAATGAATAGATGCTTGATTTCACAAAAAATGTTGAGACTTTCCAGTCATTCCCAATGTGCTCCAAGCTAAAGCAAAATGTACAAAGGAAGAATTCTCAAAGTTCCAATGGCCAATGGTCCCCAAATGAGGAAAGGCTGTAATGTGGGCTTCTCAGCAGAAAAGGGTGAGGTAATCTGAAATTTTGCTTAAGCCACTTAGGTGCAATAAAGACGCTGTAATTACAGTTTTAGTGTCAAATGGATGTGTCTTCAGTTTTTGCTGAAAAGTGGCTTGTCCCCAAGGGTAACTGGCCTCATGGCTCCCTTCAGCTAGAAACCATGGCCATACCTTAGGAATTCAGATGATCCACCAGGCACAGTGAAACACGCTTTTAGTCCCAGCACTCAAGAAGCAGAGACAGGTGGATGGATCTCTGAATTCCAGGCCAGCTTGGTCTACAGAGCAGGGTGGGGAGGGGTGGGAGTCAGATGATCCAAAATGTGTTTGTTCTGACCATGTGAAATGTTTGGGTAAGAATCAGAACCCTGGTGAAATGGTCAACGGACTGATTTCTTTATTAAAAAAAAAAAAAAAGTCATGTGGCTGATGAAATGACACAGCTAGTAAGGAGCAACAGCCCCCTAGAGAAAACGTTTGCTGTGGGATAAAGCGTGGCTCGGATCCTCAGCACCCACACAGAAGCGTGCTCATTGCATATACACGCAAGCAAAACAAGACACACTCAGTAGATTGTCTATGTGTGTACGTGTAGCCATCGCAATTATAAAATAGGAGGCCCCACAGAGCTGGGGAGAAAAGTTAGAGGAGGGGAGAGCACAGGGTGAAAATAATACAAACACACTGTATTCATGTGAAATTCTCAAAAAAAGTAAAAATTAATACAAAAGAAGACACGTTTATTTCCCATCTGCCTAATAAAACCAATGTGAATCCTTTAACATTGCTATAGATAAATTTGTTTTCCTCCCCCCTCTTTTTAAATGATTTTAAAATTTTATGGTTATTGATGTTTTGCCTGTGTATCTGTGTGAGGGTGTCAGGTGCCCTGGAACAAGTTACAGACAGTTGCTGTGTGAGGGCTGGGAATTGAACTCGGGTCCTCTGGAAGAGCAGTCAGTGCTCCTAACCCTGAGCTATCTCTCCAAGCCCTTCCCCTCCCCTCTCTTGCTTCAAGACATTGCAACAAGATATAGTGATCAAGAATTCATCCAGGTTTCCTATCAGCAGGCTCATGGGCATCCCATAATTACCAGTTACTCTTAATTGACAAAAGAAATAAAGAAAGAAGGGGCTGGAGAGATGGCTCAGAGGTTAAGAGCACCGACTGCTCTTCCAGAGGTCCTGAGTTCAATTCCCAGCAACCACATGGTGGCTCACAACTATCCGTTATGAGATCTGGTGCCCTCTTCTGGTGTGCTGATATACATGGAAGCAGAATGTTGTATACATAATAAATAAATAAAATCTTAAAAAAAAAAAAAAGAAAGAAAAACAAGGAAAGGCTAAGTGTTTTACAGTTTTATTTGAATGACAACAACAAAAATCCCAATGTCTTGGAAAACATGCCCATTTGCATTTTAGCACCCTACCCCTGTCTCTCTCACTAAGTAGTCCAGGCTGGCTTGGAACACACAGTCTTCCTTTTAGCCTCCCAAGTGCTGGGGGTAGTGATGTGTATCATTATCCTCAACCCGTTTCTCTTCCGTGAGGACCGCAGGCGTTTTGTGCCTATGCTGGGTCTGGAAGACATCCCTGAACCTGCATCATGAAGCATTTGAGGTGCTCTGGTGGTTGCTCTGCTCCCAGAGATCTTTGCAAGCACAGGATTTCTGCCGGGACACAGGGCCTGCTGTGCTGGGGGAGAGTGTGGGGGACGCAAGGTTGAACCCAGCACAGAGGTGTGCAGTGTGTGTGTGGCACCTGACCTGTCTCCCTTGGCCTGGCCCTCTGCCTTGAGCAGCTCCCGGAGGTGTGAGGGACTTCACAGGGCACTTCTTCCTTCCCTCCCACACGTCCCTGGTCCCTGCTGTAGTTTTATGAGCCCGGGAAGAGGCAGGTTTGACACAGGGACACAGTCTCTGCCAACAGCTGCAGACAAGTCAGTAAAATGTAAAGAGGGGGGAGGGACGACCTTTGAAGTTTGCAAAAAGCATGACTTTGACACTTCCTTTTCCTCTCTACTGGGTGTCCCAGGTATTATGCTGAGAGCAACTGCCAGCTTACTTTACAAGGAAGGATGCATTTCCGTCCCCAAGGTCTGTGTCCTTAATGTTTAATATGGCTCTGAATGGCTGGCTGTTCCTGTCACAGGAGCCCCGGGCTGAGCATATGGGAACAGTTGGCTGGAGGTTCTAGAGCAGGGCACTAGGGACATCCATACACCGTGAATGTCTGTACACTCGTGCAGAGAGCACTCTGGACTCAAAGTGTAAATGCTGAAGTTATCTCTACGCTTTCTTCCTGTATGTTTTTCTGTATGTGGCCCCTTCCCTTGAACTCAGAGGAAACAGTGTAATGAAGTGAACTAAAATTGTGATATTGAATTTCTTCTCTTAAGCTCATAGCTGAGTTTTAGTTTCTGGTTGACACCTTTTCTTACCACTCTGTTGAAGTTTTTTTGTTTTGTTTTGTTTTTGTTTTTTCTGTTCATAAAAGAATTCCAGTATGGTTTTCTGTCACTTTTTGACAGTTTGCCATAAAATGTCCAAGAAGAGAGGGGAAGATACATAGACAGACAGAGATATAGATAGTGGGGAAGAGAGAAAAAGAGAGGAGAGAGGGAAGGAGAGAGAGAGCCTTACAACAACAAAACAACAAACCTTATTTCTGGGGAAAGTGCTAATGTCAAGGACCTGTGAGGTGTGCCTGACCTGTGACCTGTGACCTGTGACCTGTGATGTACCTCACAGGTTATGCAGCATCAGGAGGTCACTGAGCCCCTCATTGTCTGTCTCACCCTGTGCCAGATAGGGTTGTAAGAATTTATGGAAGAATTTATGGAAGCATAGGGGGAACCATCTGCAAGCCCAAAGCCTGCAGGCTTCCCTATGTTACCCTCTCTTCATCCCCACACACAGTCAGTCTCCAATCCCATTGCTGATACCTGCAGTGTGTGTCACCTCCCTGTCACTGGGATACAGTAACCTGGTTAACTTCAGTGTGTGTCACCTCCCTGTCACTGGGATACAGTAACCTGGCTAACTTCAGTGTGTGTCACCTCCCTGCCACTGGGATACAATAACCTGGCTAACTTCAGTGTGTGTCACCTCCCTGTCACTGGGATAGAATAACCTGGCTAACTTCAGTGTGTGTCACCTCCCTGTCACCGGGAGAGAATAACCTGGCTAGAGCAACTGAAGAGAGGACTTACTTTTGCTCGCAGTATAAGGGTGTAGTTCACTATGGTAGGAAAGGCATCATGGCAGGAGCTATTATGACCGTGGATCTTGCTCACATCTGGGCAGGCTTCTAGTTTGCTGCGATTTATTGTTTGTTTGGTTTGGTTTTGGTTGTCTTAACCATTGGGGTGTGCACTCGATTTTGTCCATGGTTGCTCATTTACTCAAGCAGAGTTATTTTCCTGAGGAGTGCTGGGACTATAGATTCGCATCACTGAGACGTGCACAGGGTTATGCTCACCACTTCCTCCTGCCTGTCAGCCTCATATGGTCCTTGGCAGATAAGGGTCAGCTGGAGGTGAGGACTCTTTATTGGTACATCCCATCAGCCAAGTTGGCTGTGAAATTTTTGGAGATGCAGCTACCTATGAGACACCCATGTTCTTGTACAGATTCCCCAGCAAACTCATTGGTTCACCAAGCAGGACTTGGGTGGAGTCCTGCCTCTGATATGTCAGTGACATGTTTGGAGTGAACAGATTTGTTTAAGTCTCTTCAGGGAGAGTCATGTGACAAAGAAACAGTTTTCTTTCTTCTTCCTGCTGGTGGTGTTAGGATAATACTCGCCTCCTAAGATGATGTGGGAAGTGTTCTCTCCTTGTTTATCGTCTGCAGTGTGTGTAAAGTGTTGTGTCAATTTTTCGTTAAGAACTGGGTACAATTTTGTCATGAAACCACCTGGGTTGGAGGTTTCCATATTCTAACTTTTTTATTTATGATTACTAAGCCTGTCTTTCTCATCTTGGGTGAGTTTTGAAAGTTGTGGATCTTGAGGAATAGTTCATTGCCCCCAATTCACTTTTGTGGTGAATTTGGGCTCTGTTCCTATCGCTTCAAGTTTTCCTGTGCTTTCATTCCCAGACCCAGTCTTGGTATGTCAACAGTGTTTTTTGTTTTTTACATAATTTATTTATTTTATTTCATGTCTGTTGGTGTTTTGCCTGCATGTATGTCTGTGTGAGGGTGTCAGGTCCCCTGGAACTGGAGTTACAGACAGCTGTGAGCTGCCATGTGGGTGCTGGGAATTGAACCCAGGTCCTCTGGAAGAGCAGTCAGTGCTCTTACCTCGAACTCACAGAGATCCACCTGCCTCTGCCTCCTGAGAGCTGGGATTAAAGGCATAAACCACCACCGCCAGCTGTGTCAGCAGTGTTTATGTGCATCTTGGTGTGGGCCTCACAGAGCCTAAGCAGCTCTTCTCTCTTCCAATCCCCATCATCCTACTGACCGCTGTCCTCCAGCCTGTGGGACTGGTTCTGTCCATCTCACTTGCCTGCTGTCACTGAGTGAGGTGACCTACACCATGTTCAAAGCAGGAGCTGACAGGAAGGCTTTTGGCCAAACGAGGCTGGCATGCCCAGAGGGTAGACATAAGCCTGGAGTCCTACATTGGGGACAGGGCTGTCCTGAGATGACAGAGGTGGAGGGGCCAGGGCATGGATGGCTTCCAGGTCTGAAGAAAAGGGGCCATTGGAGGATATTTGCAAGAAGACCTCTTTTGTTTTCTTCCAAGAGCCTCCTCTCTCGACTTACAGAGTGGAGAAAAAGATGCCAACAGCGTGAAGTGGCCCCGAGACTGCCTGGAGGACAGGGGGAGGTAAGCATGTGGGATTTAGCAGTCTTTGGGTGATCTCTGTCCTGTTGGACCTTTAGAACAACGTTAGCCCTAGCGAAGGGTCCAAGTCTTGGTGAGGAATGACAATGTGTATATAGATGTTTCCTGTTTCAGGCCCGGGGGCTGACATATTCCCTCCAGTTTAGACATTCCCCCATCTTCCCTTCCTCCTCAGCTTTACATTTTCACCATTTCTAGGTCTGTTTTCTTCTTTTTGGAGCACCCTCCCACCTGGCAGTCTATGCTTTGTGATGTAATGGCATATAGTTTCTTTCTTTCTTTTTTTTTTTTTTTTTTTGCTGTTAAATGTTTTAAGAGCGTCTGACATGGGACATAGCCCAATGTTGTTTAGCGTGCTTGAAGCCTCGGGTTTGACTCCTAGCACTGAAGAAAAATGAAATAACTATTTTGATAAATATAAGTATTTTTCCACACTTTTTTTTTTTAAAGATTTATTTATTATGTATACAGCTTAGTGCCTGCATGTCTGCCTGCTGCCAGAAGAGGGCACCAGATCTCATCACAGATGGTTGTCAGCCATCATGTGGTTGCTGGGAATTGAACTCAGGACGTCTGGAAGAACAGCCAGTGTTCTTAACCTCTGAGCCGTCTCTCTAGCCCATTCCCATACTTTTTAAAGAGTGGTGTCACTCATAACAGTATGTTTGGGTTTTTAAAATACTAGCCTAAACAGCACACTGGATACTAATTTTTAGCTGTTATGAAAAATGACATTTGTTCTTTCCAGTGTTAGGCTGGTTCAGGCTCTTGGTGCAGAACAGCCTAAGGATTGACATCACACCTACAGGAATGTGAGGCTGAGGAAGGTGAGGGCGGAATGGCCACACACCACAGGCACCATAAAATGAAAAGAGAGTAGGTGTTACCGCTTAACCGTCACAGCAAACAGGACAGTGGGCAGCTGCTGCATATGGCACGCTTGCCAGTCTGTACCAAAGTGGTAGGAAGGGGTTTTCAACCTCATGCTTGAGAAATCCAGTTGCTAGCTAGCCTCAAGGTGGGTAGCTAAAATGAGCATAAAAGACACATTCACAGTGAAATGCATCTTACAGAGCAAGATTACGGGTAAGACAAAGATGAATTCCCGGAGCAAGATCTATCTTAGTCGTTTGTATCAGATGTATTCTACCTCCCTTGCTAACATGGAATTCTCCAGAAGGTAAGACCCCCGATCCCACAGACAAGGCCTTGGGGGTTCATTCTGTAGTCCAAACTCAAAATCACTTTGCCTTATCTTCCCAAAGACTGGGTTTGTGGTGGGAACACCCATACTCTCGGGTTTGATTTTTCCCTTCCCCTCCCCTTCTCTCCCCTCCTTCCCTTCCTTCCTTCCCCCCCCCCCCCCAACCTGGCTAAACTAGGCCCACTAAGCTAGGTCCAGCCCTTGGTATCTGCTTCTACATCTGATGTCCCCTCACTGAGGAATTGTCACTACCAAACAGTCTTCAAGCTGCCTCCTAGAAAGAGAAGAACATACACTCTAATCATGAGGGAGACCCTGGTGTAGTTTAAGATGTGGACCAAGGCTCTGCCACCCCATGAGGCTGTGAGGGAATATGGAAAAGAGGCCAGGGATTCGTCACATGCCCAGGATGGGGTCACTGAAGCTCCTTGGTGTGAGCTTGAATCTAGTACCCGCTCCAGCAATGAGTGGGATGATAGTGGACCCCCTGTGTACTACTATGGCCTCAGGGTTTACCATTCCCTAGTGACCTCACTGCTAAGTGGGGTGAGACTGTGTGAGGTCAACATGGAGATAGTTTGCAAGTGATAGACAAGGCAGAGGTAAAGTGTGTGTGTGCGCGTGCGCGCGCGTGCGCGCGCGTGTGCACCACTGTAATGACAGCAAAGACAGCCTCTACATGCATTGTACATACTTTTCTGAAACAGCATGGACATGTGTGCATTGCCCTCACTTCCCTCAAACTGACCAAGGACACTACCCCCAGTGTATGGGTCTAGGCTCTGGCCTGAGGTTGCCACCTACGAGTTGAACTTGGACCATCTGACTCTGGCCTGCACTGTCAGCTCAAGGTGGATAAAACAAGGAGGCAGGGGGCTGCAGGCTGTGCGGGTGTCCATGACAGATAGGGAGCTGAGTCCTAGAGAGCTCAGAAACCAACCATAGAGGAGAGGCCTTCCAGAGACTGGGATGAATTGAGGCAGTGGTCTTCCTCAAAGTATTCAAAAGGTGCGTCCAACCTGTCCTGAATTCGCAACAACAGGGTAGGTGGTTCTACAGGAGAGGAGGTTCTTTTCTGTCAGAGGCTTGTGTGGATGCAGCATACCCCCGCCCCCCCCAACCTCTGGGAAGTCTAGTCTTCCTTTCCCGCTAGTAGGGTGTTTCCCACCATGAAACATTTAACAGAACATACACCTGGGAGAATTCTGGTGGCAAAGAGGCTGCTGGCTAGTCATTTGTGGGGTGGTGGGTGGTGTTGGGGGAGTGTTTCCCTCATTTAGGGACCAATTCTGGCCTAGCTATTAGCATCTGAATGGGCAGCCCAGTTGTTTTGATTGAATAGAGAGGGCAAGCCTTTGTTGTTTCAATTGAGGGAGTAAGTTCTCTGGCCTCCTTTAATCAGCTGGAATGGGGGAAATGGCAAGGGTTGCCCGTCTGGGCTGAGAATGCTACAAGGGCCACCTCCAAAGCTCCTTCCCAGTGAGCCCCAGAGCCAGCAGCACTCAGTATGGGTGGCGTCCCTGCCCACTGCTATCCTTTCCCTCGGCATTTCTTTCAGTGCCTTCTGAAGATTCTCTTTGTCTGGATTGAGCCAATCCACATAATTATAGAAACACAGCCTATCCAGGTGCTAGAGCCAAGCATTTGGTGCTCGTTTGCCACATACAAGGGCCTGAGGCCAAGGGGATGACATCCAAATAACTTCATAATTTCATACTCAATGTGCCATGGGTGAAAGACCTCTTGGAGGGCATTGATCTCTATGTACGGGATTTTGCAGTATTTAATTTACGAGACCCGGAAATGTAAATTACTTTTATTACCTTAGTAAGTAGCAAAAGCTTCAAGTTTTAGGTTAAAAAGACTGAAGGCTAAGTTTTCAAAAATCCTCCATTTTCTTCCTTTTATCTGAAATTGGCAACACAGTTTCTATTCTTATTTTTTGAGACAGGGTTTCTCTGCCTAGTCCTGGAACTCAGCCCTGTAGACCAGGCTGGCCTCAAACTCAGAGATTTGCCTGCCTCTGCCTCCCAAGTGCTGGGATTAAAGGCGTGTGCCTACACATAGGGACATAAAGATTGGTGATTACTGAAAATGGAGGTGACTCCCACTGAAGGAAAATCTTCTTGGAGTTGCTGTCTGTGGTAGTCACAGCTCTTTTTTCACATGGTCTTCTCCGTCCCTAGGTCTGCATCAAGCCAGCCATTCTGTGCTCTTCCTACTCATGTTTATGCTTCCCCCCCCCCCCGGAAATGGGAGATGGCCACCCTCTGAGACTAGCTTCAGCCACATCTCTCTAGGAGGCCTTGGGAGAGAACCTTCTCTCAACCACCCCTGGCTCACGCAGAGCATGTAACCCTGGGACTCCAGTTCCTTCCTTGAGTTGCATTCTCCAGCTGTTGGAGTCCCCCCAGTGTCTCAAAGGAGCCACCCAGGGTCCTAATTAGCGAGTGTCCTCCCACAGGCTGGCTTCTCCCAGGAAAGCAGTTTGTCAAACAGCTGTTCCAACCTGATAAAAGACTGTTTGCTGTATCCTGCCTACAAAGACAAACCTCACCTGTCCTGTCCTAGCTCAGTAGAATCCAGCCCAGACTGGCTTGCCTTTGCTCCCTGGTGACCCCCCAGCTGTGCTGTAAACTCAGCTGAGTCCCTTGGGCATGGGTGACCCCCTTCTTTGCCTCAGATGTTGGGGGCACCCCAGCACAGGAAATAATGAAAAGCACCCATGGGGCCTTCTCTATGGCCCCTCTCCCCACTCAAGTAACACAGTGTGATTACTTACTGGTGCTAGAGCCTATGATCTCAAAAAACAGTTCCAGGGCCTGGCAGTGTGACACATACACACACAGCTTTAATCCCAGAACTCTAGAGGCAGAAGCAGCCAGATCTCTGTGAGTTTGAGGCCAGCTTGGTGTACATAGCTAGTACTAGGCTAGTCAGGGTTATATAATGAGACCTTGTCTCAACAAATAGACAGATAGTACCAATACAGTCACCCGTATTCTCACTGAACTGTTGTGAGAACCCCATAGAGCCCCCAGGGCGGCTGTTAGTGGAGGGATGTCCTGAGACTACACAATGCTGTCTATACTTTAACCTGGGACAGAGCCCAGGTTCATTCAAGGTCTCCTGGTTTGGGGCTAGCTGAAGATATTAAGGAAATTCCCTACCAGGCAAACATGCACACATACACACTCATACATGCACACATATACATGTACACACATACCAGCACACACTTATGCCTCCACACACATGTGCACACACAGATGCGCATATATATATACATATATATGCACACACATGCACACAGTCATACCTGCATACACACACACACACACACACACACACACACACACACACACACACACACACACATAGACACACAGTGTCCCAAGTATCTGTGCTCAACACACAGGTGAGGTGTACTGAGTGCCAGGTGCACCTTCATGATGAGACGCGTGTGCAGGGCACATGTAGCAGAGAGCATCTTCGTTGGGGCAGACTGCCCTCATCACTCACTGCAGAGCAGAAGCTAGGCTCAGAGAAGCTAGTAGGGCTCCTTGGAGAATGCAGCCACTCATGCTTCAGAGAGCACTGTACCAGGAGTCTTCCCTCTAGCACAGTGTGCTCCTTCAGCTGCAGGCTCTCTGGAAGCAGGAGCATTTCTATGCCAAACTTTATTTTGAATACACGGTAAGAGCCTCCTCCGAAACCCATGCCACTTGTCCAGCATAACCGCACTGCTTAAGAGCTGTCCTGTCACCATGGCCTCCTGCAGGATGACCCAGCCGAGGGCGTCCAGCCTGAGGATATGGAGGGCCTGTGACTGCTGCCTCTGTGTACTCAAGGGGTGCTGAGCCTGACAACTTCTTCTGTGTTTGCTTTTCTCTGTTTGGTGCCACCCGGGCAGACTGCTGGAGAGAGACGGCCGCTTTGCAGATGTGTGCATGGAGCACAGGGCTAGAGGCCTGGTCAGTGTCCTGTGGGTCCAGACACAGCACCAAAGGCTTGGACATAGATTTGGGAGGTGCCGAGGGACCTGGGGCGGGAGGTGCACTATTCCCTGGATGCAAGATCTAGTTTATTCTCACTGAACTGTGATTCAAATTGGGACCGTATCGGGTGGTGGCCAGGGACAGAAAGGTCTGTTTGAGTCGCAGTGAAGTCTTAAGTCTGGGACTGGAGATACAGCTGAATTAATAGAGGGCTTGCCTAGCATTCAGGAAACCCTGGGCTCAAACCCCAGCATCATATAAACAGGGTGTGGTGGCACATAGCTGTGACCTTAGCATTTGAGAGGTACAGGCAGGAAAAATGGAAAGTTCAGAGGCATCCCTAGCTAGGCAGTGAGTTTGAGGCCAGCCTGGGCTACCCGAGGACTCTGTCTCAAAAGAAAATTATCAAGTCCAACTTAAAAACAGGACAAGGCCCAAACCACCCCATCTTCATCTGCTGTTTCCCTCATCATCACAGCAGTGGGGAGGGACAGTGATAGAGTGGAGATGGCCTCACATAGCAAGCATGAAGGGGGCCCCAGCAGAAGTTCTTGGTGATAAGGTATGATTTTCCAAAGTGGCACAATTTAGACAGTGGAACATTTAAAATAGGAGAGTATATCTTAATGATCACTACTCACCACCTCCAATTCTGACCTATAACCCACTTCTCACATTCAAATAACAAAATAAAAATGTTCTTTCCTCCCCAAGATGGATTACCTGGTCCCAAGTAGGCATGAGCAGGCAGGTGCTCCACCCAGAGAAATGGGGGACCCCCTGATCCCTGGCCAGCAGCTTCAAGTGTCACCTGCCCTCCGATTTCTCAAGTACCAGAGCCCAGAAAGTCCACAGAGAAGTTCCCAGTTGAAGAAAGGAAGACACCAAGTGACCCTGTGTGGCATGTGAGTTATCAGAGTAATGAGAACAGGGCCAGTGAGATGGCTCAGAGGGCAGAGGGGCTTGTAGCCAAGCTTGATGACTTGAGATCCCTGGGACCCACACTGTGGAAGAAGAGAACCAGTTCCTACAAGCTGCCCTCTGACTTCCGTAGGTTTGTGTGTGCGCATGCTTGCGCACACCCAGACACAGACACACAACTCTCTCTCTCTCTCTCTCTCTCTCTTGCTCTCTCTCTCTCTCTCTCTCTCTCACATACACATACACACACACACAAAATAAATGTGAAAAAACAATAATGGTTGCCCAAAGCAAACAAGTAAACAACAGAGCTATACCGTGCCTTTAGAAGAATTTGTCAGTGGGAGAGTAAAAACCGAGAAGTAGGTAATTCAGATTTCACCCATAGGATCCCACTCTGGGTGTATGCCAGGCCCCAGACCACTTTCTCCACAGTCCTTCCTAGGGTCACATGGTGGGGCAGGAGCTTATCCCTGCTGCCTCTAGTCTCTATCGTCCCCTGAGTCAGAAGGTGCGAACTTCCATCTGTCTGCCACCCTCCGCTCCTGTGGGACCTGCCTCTGAGGTCCTTTTAGTTAGTTTGGTTTATTCAAAACATTTTTAAAGTGCCAGTGGTTGAACCTAGCTAGGCCCTGTGCATGTCAAATGCCGTCTGACCATGGAACTGTCCCCCCAGCCTTCTGTACACGGCTACTCCTTGCTCCCCACTGTGAGGCTGAGTGGCATGGCTGGCGTTGTATGTTGACACAGGTGGGCCCAGCTGTGCTTCCTTCACCGACCTCAGAGAAGCTCAGTCTGTTTCATCATCTGGTACCATGTACACGATGACACCTGCTCCTTAGGCTGTCAGTAGACTCAGTTTAGTGATGTAAGCAAGGCATTCTCCCTCACATTTGTCTGTTCTGTGGCACCAGCCCTTTGAATGTCTGTCCATTTATGTATCCAGTGTGACTCATCCATACCCAGTCTCTTACTCCCCTGACCTCTTAAAGGGGAAATGGATGGCTGCAGTTAGCTAGTCCTCACTGGTGATGCTGAGTTAGATCCTCCTAGGTGTGAATACTTGTGTAAGACAGCAAATCACTAGGAGCTTCAGGCTTAGGGCTATTCACTGAGTGAATGCTGTCTGATCAAATGCTTCCAGTGTTGGTGTGCCCACCTCTAACAAGGAGAAGTCCAGCCCCTGCTGCCCTCTGAAGCCCTGCAGAGTGATTTTGTAGACAGCCGCTTTTGGGTACACTCCAGCTTGGTGAGGCTTGGTAAAGACCTCTGTCAGGGCATCACTTTCTGTTACTTTGGTAATACATGTCCATGTTTCTGTTAGAAAACCTTCCTAGATTGAGTGCAATGAAGAGAATAGAAATTTTTGGCAAAGAGCCTTGTATTCTAGAATGAGGCCATCACACACCCTCTTTTCCTGAAGAAGCAGCCAGCCAGGGCTGGAGAGATGGCTCAGGGTTAAGAGCACTCTCTGTAGATGAACGGAGTTCGACTCCCAGTGATCACAGTCATCCACAATCTCTGTTTCAGAGGGTCAAATGCCCTCCTCTTCTGACCTCTGAAGACAGTAAGCACGCACATAGTGCACAGACAGGCAGGCAAAACACTTATACACATAAAATAAATCTAAAGGAAAAATCAGTGCAGCTTCCTGGCTTTATGGTCTCAGACAGCCCAGGAAAGCCTCAAATGCTTCTGAGACCCTGACACCCTGAAAGTGCTGATGGGTGGGGACCAGTGCACTGGTCCATTCTAGAGCTACCGTGATTTATGTCCTCCAAAGTGACATAGATGTCATTCTTGTGGGCGCCTTTGCAGCACTATGGCTGAGGAAAGGTATGGCTAGAGTCATTGGACTCAGCTACCTGAATCTCCTAACAAATCACTAGTACCCATCTCTAGGAGATCCCCAGATGCCACCCGTACAAAGTGACATTAAGTTTAAGGTAACAAAGCTGGCAGGGAAAATTCTTCTTTCATTTGTTTGCATTTTCATGCACGTTCCAGGACACTTTATATTTTCTTTCTTTTTTTTTAAACATTATTATTTTAAAGAATGGATCTCTATCTCACTTTGTTTAATCCTTTATTTAGATTTTATGTGCATTGGTGTTTGGCCTGCATTCATGTCTGTGTGAAGGTATCAGATCCCCTGAAACTGGAGTTACAGACAGTAATGAACTGCCACATGGGTGCTGGAATGAAATCCGGGTCCTCTGGAAGAGCAGCCAGTGCTCTTAACTGCTGACCCATCTCTCCAGCTCCCACTTTATATTTTCACACACACACACACACACACACACACACACACACACACACACAGAGAGAGAGAGAGAGAGAGAGAGAGAGAGAGAGAGAGAGAGAGAGGGAGATCATTTACACAGACACACACACACAGTTATGAAGAGACACAGACACACAGACACACATGCAGGCACACATACAGACACATGCTGATACATACCAACAAACATATATGCAGACATATATACATATTCATACAGACACAGACAGACAGACAGACAGACAGACAGACAGACACACACACACACACACACACACACACACACACACACTCAGAGATCCAGACACTAACAGACACAAGAGGAGACACACATAGACATATATACAGATATACATAGATACGTGCACACAGAAATACATATACAGACACACTTTTTCCACACACTGACATGCACACCCATGTGTGCACACACATGCCCTTGCTATTTGCCATTTGCTTCTGTTTCTCTGATAGTGATCATTGGTGAGGTTTGGAAGAAGGATCTAGAGCAGGTGCTGTTTTAGTCAGTATCTTTGGCTCTCTGCCAAGGCAGTGCCATTAAGTACAGAATGCTAAGCCAAACTTTTATCTAATTGGTTTCAGAATCATAGAAACTGGTCCTGTGATTTTTTTGCTCATGGTCAATTCCAGTTTGTCCCAAAATTGCCTTGTGGATTCAAGTTATTAAAAAAGAAGTTAGAGATATCTGTGTCTAATATAGACTATGCCAGGTCCACCAAGAAAACTATGCTTTGAGCCCAGTGAGAGGAAACCGTGTGTGTGTGTGTGTTGTGTGTGTGTGTGTGTGTGTGTGTGTGTGTGTGTGTGCGCGCGCGCACGCGCCCCCCCCCCAAATGATGGTGGATGTGATTGTCCTGGAGAAAGGACTCACATAGATTTTTTTAAAATTATGATATTGATAGGTTGGGAGAGATAGTTCCACGGTTAAGAGCACAGATTGCTCTTCCAGGGGAGCCAGGTCCAATTCCCAGCTTCCACAGGGTAGCCCACAACTGCCTGTAACTCCAGTTTCAGGGGCTTCATTGCCCCCTTCTGGCCTCCATGGGCACTGCATGCATAAGACACACAGATATACATGCAGGCAAATCATTCCTACAATCTAAAATTTTAAAATCTGGGCCGGAGAGATGGCTCAGGGGTTAAGAGAGCTGGCTGCTCTTCCAGAGGTTCTAAGTTCAATTCCCAGAAACCACATAGTGACTCACAATCATCTATAATGGGTTCTGATGCTCTCTTTCTGGCCTGCAGGCACACTCACACCTAAACAACACATTGAAACTCTGTCTTGAAAAACAAAACAAAAACAAAAACAAAAAATTAAATTACATTGAGGAAGTCTGTGATCCAAAAAAAGTTAATGTCATGGTGATGAATGAAGTGAGGAACAAAAAGAAAAAACCAAACTCTTATATTTGCAGAAAAAAAGCCTGTACTGGTGTTAACCCCATTGGAGTTTATTATGCACAGAAACAGTCTGAATGCCATCAGAAAGAGATTAGGAGCAAGCTCTCAGAGCAGGTGAAGGGCAAACTTGCTCCTGTGGGGATGACCACAGACCCCAGGCCTACAGCACCCCTGACCCTGGACCACGTGATCCAGACCCATCCTGTGGTGGTAGGTTCCTGTTTTCTCTGGCTGTGCTGGGGGGAGATCAAAGGAGAGATGAGAGCAGGAGCTGGTAGAGGATTGGGAGGTGGGGCAGAGCAGGATGCCAGCAAGTGTGAGATTTCTGAGGACTTCCGGGCTGGAGACTAGAGGGGCCTGCAGCCCACAGATGAGGTGTGGGAGCTGTCAGGGTAATAATGATAGGCACTGGGGAGGGATGAGTAGTTTCCTAATTCCTGGGTGAGTCAGAGCAAATAACTATGGTTTAAAGTGAGTGCATAGTGCAACCCTCAAAGTTTATCTGTTTTATGAACAATGAAAGGGGTCATGTAAATATATGTTACTTTTTCCTTTCGTTCACTGTAGGAGGCTAAGACAGCACATCGACGATACTGGGTGAACTACGTGGATGAAGAATAAGGTTTTATACAGTTACTAGGTGAAAAAAAAATCCAAACAGGAAATGACAACTTTCTTTCCCTCTGGTACAACATGATGACAAGCAGTGAGGTTGACATCCAGTAAAGACGTGAACACCTGATAGGCTACCAGGCATGGCACTTCAGTCATTCTTTCCTTATAAAGGCGACGCCATCAAGCAGAAATGCAGAACCAAGAATCCAGATGCTGGAGAGGTGGCTAAACACAGGCAGAGCAGCAGTCATGGTCAGAGTGGCCAACCAGACTTAACGGGGCTTCAGCTGGTGGCTCTTCAGTTGTGCTGGCCCAGGTTCTTCTGCCTGCCGCTCTCTCTGCAGTGCCTTAGGTAAAACATGCCTGTTTTCTTTCTTAAAAATAAGGTGTTTTTTTTTTTTTTTTAAAAAAAAAAAAAAAAAACCTTTCACATTACGAGTGAGCATTAGGAGGCAGGAGAATGGAATCAAAGGGTGTTTGGTAAAATGAAATTAGCTTTATAAGGCAGGAAAAAAATAACCAATGGACATAGGACCCAACAAGTGGTTGGATTCGGCATACCTGAAGACAGCATGCAGGAACTAGATAGTCCAAAGACTTGATCTGAAGCACTGACAGACAAAGAGCATCTGGCCTTAATAGGCTAGTGGAGTTTAATCCCAGGTCCAGCAGCAATGAGGGAGAGGCTGCGGAAGGTTCAGTACCTGAGAAGAAAGGTAATTCTAGAGCTGCTGAAAAATATCAACCTTTAGATTTAGGGAACTCAAGGAGTCACAAGAAGTAGTTTAAAAAAAATGGCACCTGCTGGGGATGTGGCTCTGTGGGAGAGAGCTTGACTTGCATGCTCAAGTTCTGGGTTCAATCCCCAGCACTTCCACAATAAAAATAAAAATAATAATAATAACAGGGAGGGCGTGAAGAGATGGCTTACCACTTAAGAGTGCTCTAGCAGAAGACCTGGGCTCAATTCCTAGAACCCACATGGTGGTTCATAGCAGTCTGTGACTCAGTGTCAGGGGACCTGAGGTCCACTTTTGGCTTCTACAGGCACTGTATGATCATGGAGCACAGACATACATGCAGGCAAAACAGCCATACACATAAAAAGATGAAAAGAAGATTTTTAAAAGACTAGTTTTCGGGCTGGAAAGATGGCTCAGAGATTAAGAGCACCGACTGCTCTTCCAGAGGTCCTGAGTTCAATTCCCAGCAACCACATGGTGGCTCACAACCATCCCTTATGAGATCTAGTGGCCTCTTCAATTGATGTGCAGATATACATGGAAGCAGAATGTTGTATACAGAATGTTGTATATATATAATAAATAAATAAAATTTTAAAAAAGACTAGTTTTCCACAGAAACAAGTGACCTAAACATTGGGGAACTCTTGCTCCCCAGACTGATAGCTGGGATACCAACATGGGACTGATCCAGAACCCAGGAACATGGATTTCATTGAGGAAACCTCAGAAATCTACAGGAGTAGTTCAGTACTTATCCCTAGCATAGGTGTGGACTTTGGGAGCCCATTCCACATAGAGGAATACTCCCTGAGCCAAGACACACGGGGGTGGGCCTAGGCCCTATCCCAAAGGATATGACAGACTCTGATGACACCCTATGGAAGGCCTCACCATCCAGGGGAGCAGAAAGGATATGCTATAGGTAAGGTTTTAGTTGCAGGGGTGGTGGTAGGGGAGGACAGGAGGGAGAAGGGAACTGGGATTGTCATGTAAAACAATCTTTTTTCTAATTCAAATAAAAAAATCTGAAAAAAAAAAAGACTAGTTTTAAAAAAAAAGTTCAGCCAGGTATAGGACCTTTAATCCCAGCACTTGCACCCTGGAGGGAGAGGCAGGTGGATCTCTTTGAGTTTGAGGTAAGCCTGGTCTACCTAGTGAGGCCTTTTCTCAAATAAACAAACAAACAAAGTTCACAATGACTGTGGAGACTCGTAAAGGAGCCAAGGAAAAAGGCAGCCCTCACCAAGGAATAGCACCCAAAGGCATGCAGCTCTCTGGTGTGAATGTAACAGGCAGATTCTTTTTTGGGGGGGGGCGGGGGGGAGTTCGAGACAGGGTTTCTCTGGCTTTGGAACCTGTCCTGAAACTAGCTCTTGTAGACCAGGCTGGTCTCAAACTCATAGAGATCTGCCTGCCTCCACTTCCGAGTGCTAGGATTAAAGCCATGCACTGCTACCTCCACTAGGCTAACAGGCAGATACTTAGAGAATCTTTTTAACAAGAAGTAGAGCCAGGGTGGTGGTGGAACACACGTTTAATCCCAGAACTTGGGAGGCAGAGGCAGGCAGACCTCTGAGTTCAATGCCAGAGGGAGTTGCAGGACATCGAGTACTATACAGAGAAACCCTGTCTGGGAAAAAAACAAAACAACAAAAATAAGTAGAAACTCTTAGTAATCCTATAGCAATTAACTAAGCCAAGTCCACCACTTATAACCCCCCTCAAAGAAAGTAAGAAGACGTTAGGCACATGGGTTCTGTTGGCAAATTCTACGGGCATGTAAGTAGGAAACAGCATAGAAAGCAAATATAAATTCTTTAGAATAAAGGGCCAAAGGAGCTGTTATAGCTCCTCCTGTGAACGAAACAGGTCCTCCATCACAAAGTCAGAGCTAGGCTGTTGTCACTCAAGACACAGAGGCAGCACTCGTAAAAACACAGTGACCAATCCAACCTAGTAACACTCTGTTCACCTTAGTGACTTCTTGCCACAATAAAAACAGTAGCAAATTACGAAAAGGAGGGGAAAATTCTTGAACTAATCGCATGTTTAAATACGCACATGTAAACAATGGTGTGTTTAACAGTGAGGTCTTGCAATCTTGTCTTTTGAGGTGGCAACAACACAAGGACCCCATCATTTCCTCTCCTGTGCAACACTATACCAGAAGCTTGACCCACACAAGGGTGAAAAATATATGATGTTATCACCTTTTGTAGGTTCTTATTTTTGTTTTATGCGTAGAGGTGTTTGTGTACACATGCATACAGTGCCTGAGGGGGCCAGAAGGAGTGTTGGATCCCCTGGAGCTGCAGTGACAGATGTCATGTGAGCTGTTGTATGGGAGCAAAGAGTTGAACCAGGGTCCTCTGGAGGAGCAGCCAGTGTTCTTTCCCTCTGAGCCATCTCTACAGCCTCAACTTATGGTTTAAATGCTACACAAACAGTTAGCTCTGTTTTGTTTTGTTTTGTTTTGTTTGGTTTGGTTTGGTTTGGTTTTGGTTTTGGTTTTTTGAGATCCACTTGCCTCTGCCTCCGAACTGCTGGGATTAAAGGTGTGCACTACCACTCCAAGCTACTTTAGCTGTGTTTAATTATTGCAAACATTTCTTCTGTGAATAAACAGAATTTTAAAAGAAGATTTAACTGGTGTGTGTGTGTGTGTGTGTGTGTGTGTGTGTGTGTGTGTGTGTGAGTGTGATTGCCAGGTGTGTGCATTCTCCTGGTGCTGGAGTTACAGGTGGTTGTAAACTGGAGACTGTGTAGGTGCTTGGACAGAGTTGGGGCCTCTGCAAGAGCGCTGGACCACTCAGCCATCTCTGCAGGCCAGCAAGTGGAATGGTAAAGATGCTTGAATAAGAAGGTGTTGGACTTCCTCGTTCCTTGAGTGACAAATGTGTTAAGTATAGCTACCATGTCATTAGCATAATAAGAATATTCATGAGTGAGAGAGAGAGAGAGAGAGAGAGAGAGAGAGAGAGAGAGAGAGACTGGTCAACATAGTGATATTGAGGAGGGAAAAAAAGAAGGAACCATGAAAGAGAGGCAGGAGGAAGGAGAAGTAGAGGGGATGGAAGGGAAGGAAGGCTGCTACCTTCCTTCCTCATCAGCCAGAGAACAAGAAAAAGAAGTGGTCTAAGTAAATGATGCTGCCTGTTAGCACTGTTCTACACATCAGAGATCTGGGTACACAGACAGTCTCAGAGGCTTGAAAACAAGCTGAACCTACCAGCTAAAATACTTAGAACCAAAAGTGGTTGATACTTCAGAGTCTTTAAGATTTTGGAATATTTGTACAGACTTCAATGTTTGAACATCTCTTAAGTTCCAACATCTGTCTCTTAAATACCTTGTGACTGGGACTGGAGTCAGGTATTAAGACTGTCTCAGTGGTTAAGAGCAGGATGGGTTCCTGGCTCACATCTGTCCATCACACCAGTTCCAGGTTTCTGACCTCCCAGGGCACACATGTGACACACTACGTACATGCAGACAGAATACTTAAACACATAAAGTAAAAATCATCTAAAAACAGCAACCAAAAAAAATTCATCTTGCAACCCAGTTAGAAATGCTGAGCGGCAGCCACACACAGGATTGGTAGCTGGATAGGAAAACCAAGCTCATCCTGCCTTCACTTCAGCACCATTTCCTAACCCTGTTTCTGATGAACTCTGGGTCCCTAGCTGGTATGGAGCTGGAGTTCCTCATTTACTAGTGGACTGTTGTGATTTCAAAGTGGGAGAAGTGACCCAGTGCCCTCTTTGAACTCTTATCTGTCTGTTGTCTGATCATCAACCCAGGGACCAACTTCCGAAAGGTATTCAAAACTGGATTAAAGATGCAGTCATCTTTGGTATGTGAGTGCTGTGGAACATGTGTGTCCATACACATAAATACACACGTTCAAACGCACACATGCATATAATGTAATATGTATGTAGTATATACACACATATATTAGAGGTTTGATTATGTATCCCTGGCTGGTTGGAACTGGCTATGCAGATCAGACTTAGCCTCCAACTCAGAGCTCTGCTTCTTCTGAGCTGCCAAGGGCAACACCATGAGGAAAAAAAAAAAAAAAAAAAAAAAATTTTAAAAAGATAATAAAATCTTGGCAGACTGGAGAGGTTGTCCTATGACTGCTCTTCCAGAGGACAGGTGTTGGAAGCCCAGACCTTCATAGCAGCTCACAGCTGTCTGTATTTCCATTTCCAGGGGACCTGTTGACATTTTCTGGCCTCCACAGGCACCAGA